GGATAAAGCTAGATGTCTATACATGTTTTCTAGCTCTAAAATTTGTCTGGTATTTAAAATCAGTAATAGCTGTCCACGGCTTCTCCTCTATATGTATATATAATAAAATTTCCATCAACTCTTGGAAGAATTATTTTTGTTTAATGCTTTTTATATAAAAACTGTTTACATTCTTTTTGGGTTTTCATGATTTTTTTTTTTTAGAAATTTTTACCAAAAAATAAATTCTTCTTTATTACAAACAGAAATACGCAAAAAAGCAACAAAAAAATGTTAAACTTTAACAACAGCAGCAAAAAATATACATCCATATTTATAAATAAATGTTGAAAAACAAAACCTAAGCTGTTTTTCGCAGTTCAGTGGCTAACAGTAAAAAAGGGAAACCCCATTATAAAGTTGTGTATGTGTACGGGGTAAAGTACTTCCGTTTGGTATAAATTCAATTCATTGTTGTCCGTCTGTCTGTCCGTCCATCCATCCGTCTGTCTGTCAGTTGTGTTTTTTGGTTGAATGCCATATTTTTATGAATTTGTTATTTAATTTTTTTTTTAAAACACACATTTAGTTATTTCCCTTGAAATAAATTCATATAATAAAATTATTTTTCTTTTTTTATTGTCTGTTTACATCCTTTTTTCGCAAAAAAAAGAATAATAAAACTGTAAATATTTTCTAAAAAATAGTGGAAAATTTGGTTTAAAATAAAACTTGTTTGTTCATAAAACAATAAAATAAATATTTTATAGTTTTAATTAGTTCTAGAGAAAATGTTATATAAACCAAACTTTATATAAAAAATATATATACAAATGAAACTCAATAATATCACTTACAAATGTGTTAATGAAAATTTTCCTTGCAATATGTTTTTTGAGTAAAATTAATTGCAATGAATTTGAAAATAATTAACTGTCAAACTATGTCATGTTAATGTGTACCACTTGTTAGTTTTAACAAACCAATAATAAACCATTTTGATATGACCAACATATTTACCTGTAAATGTTCTTTTATATATGTAGTTCATGTTTATGCATGTTTGTATGTATGTGTGTGCAAAACCATCAAATCGTCAGTTGTGTAAATTTCGTTTGAAAGTTTAATGTTTGTGGTTTTGTACCATTTTAATTGAGACGTATGTTTATTATGAAATTATTTTTACACATTACTCATACGTCAGCAATTATTTTTGAAACATTTAGTGGTGTTTAACAGTTAATGTTTAAAACACTGACATTGTGTAAGAGTGGTAAGAGGGGTAGGGTCAATCACCAATAGCAAAAAAACATTTAAACCCTATCGTTTTTTCAACAGACGGAAGGACGAACATGGCTAGATTGTTGTTAATCAAATAAATACTCTTATAATTAGAACCATGACTCTTATACGTATAAAGCACGATAGGACTTGAACGGGGGAGGCTAAGAGGACTGTATTTCTCCACAAATATTCTACATCGTAATAAGATTTTGATTACAAAAGATGCATTTGTATGAACATTTCTCATTAACTCATTAACATAACCAGGATGCTTCGATCGAAGTTGAAGTTTAAACCGAAATTTTTAGAAAATTGAGTCCACACATCTATAGTTAATCGATTAATTATAGAAATGTAATAAATACCATTCGATATGTTTTATTTGGCGGGCAATGGATTACATCCATCAAAGGGGGCAGATTACATCCGCCAATATGTGCTTCCTTTTTTGCAGATCAACATCCATGCAACTAAATGAGCGACATAGAGGATAAATTAAGCCAGAGAGGAATTCAGCCAGAGAAGAATTCATCCAAAGAGAGGAATTCAGCCAAAGAGATGAAATCAGCCAGAGAGAACGAATTCAGCAAGAGAAAACAAGAAGATATCCAGCCAAAGAGAGAGAGGACAGTCAAATAAGGAGACTAAGCTATACCACAGATCACAGCCGTTACCGGTTCAAACCTATGAGAGGAGCATCACTACAAAAATACTGAAGTTATTGTTACAGAGGACTATAAAAATGGGTGCAATCGAACAATCAGTCTCTTTTGCGACGTATCGAGTGAACAGCTAAGACATGTTTTTTGGTAAGAAAAAAATACTGCGTGTAGTGCTAGAGTAGAAAGAAAATAAAGGCAAAGGTTAGGACTCTGGTTTACAATCAGTGGACAAACAAACCCTTTAACGGATTTACATTTGTTGAAGAAAGATTAGTTTAGAAGTGATAGACATTTTTCCCTGGAAGTTTACACTGGGGGAAAAAATAGAGTAGGAAAAATACTCTACAATGACATTCCAGAAGAAAAATCATAGCCAAGCACTGGATCAGGGCAAAAGCAATAGGAAATCTTCCTTTACACTCGGAAGAATTAGGAACAAGAGAAAATTTATATAATTTACATTCTAGATATTCCCAAAGATAGGATTGGAGGGACACCGAAACCCGCCACACGTTCACAAACCGGACAGCGAGACATTGAATAACAAAAATGTACCTATACACAGGTCTCAATTTTTAAGATAATTGGATGAAATTTGACACACACGCTTATTTAGCCCAAGGACGAAAATGGTTAAAATCGGCACATTATTTCACCTAGCCCCCATACAACAGAACACCCCGAAAAGGTCCTTTGAGCTCTTAATTATGTTAAATATACCAATATCTCGATAAAAAGTTTTATACCAGTCTTGATAACCTTGCCAAATTTCATAAAGATCGGGCCTGATTTGACCCTAGCTCCTATACAAAGTCCTCTTCAGAAATTTGACTTGAATGTCCAATATTCACTTATAAACACTAATAGCGATGAAATTCAGCACAAATAAATATTATATAAATATAAATCTATTTACAAAATTTTATCGGAATCGGTCCATATGGGCCTCTAGCCCCATATAAACCCTCTTTTAGGAAATAAGTTTTTCGTGCATAAAATGCTTAAATGTATTGGAAACAAAGTTATATTGAAGATATATTCACCCCGACTATACTATCAAACTTATTTTTTGTTTTAGTTCAATATAAGAGGTACCATTTGATAGAAGAATAATTTCTAGAATATTATCTTTGGAATATACTAATTCAATCAGAACGATGTGTATTTAATTTGATGTTTCTAGGTTCTATATAACAGAAAATTTTGAAAAGTATCAGTTAAAAAACAAAAAGTACCAAAAAGTTTCCTCAGACCTGTGCTCATTCAGTCTGTACCAAGTATGTTAAAATTAAAATTCTTGTAAAATCAGCTTTTGTTCAAAAAGTGTATTTCAAGAAAGCTTCTATACCATTTACAAAAAGTACGTTTAAACAAGTACCAAATTATTCAATCCAATTGGTTGAATAAAAAATAAATAAATTCCCAGCTTGCCTGAAATTTTTTGGGAAAGTTTCTGAAAAAAGAACTATTTATTGTTACTGGAAAAGTTATTTAAGAAATCTTATAGTTATTAAATAGTACATTTTGTGGTTTTGACGTAATAAATCTGTAACAGAATATTTAAAATAACTGTGGCGTATGATTATTATGAAATTATTTTCGCATAATACTCATACGTCACCAATGCTTTTAGTGGGACTTAAATTGTCAGTCAGAAATTTATGGTTTAAAATGACAGACAATTGTTTTAAAACGACAATGATAATTGTTTTAGTTTTCTAAAGTCGTAGAGTAAGTAGTTCCCGGTTGAATGTTAATCCTGTAGGAGGAAAGATGGAAAAAACAAAAAAGTTTGACTAGAAAGTTTGGGAAAATAGGACTAATGGAAACAATAATACTTTGTTTTCTACAATAACTTTAAATCATTGTTCTTAAAGAGAAAAATTTTGTTTACTTATAGGTCCATTTAGTCCTTTTTGAGTACGTATTTCTCAAGGAACTAAACATTAATTGTTCAATAAGGATCGAATGTGATATAAATTCTAAATATGTTCATAGGTTTAAAAGTTACATGAAATTCAAAAAGTTTTTGTTTTACCTATTTTATTTTAGGAGATATAAGGTTACTGAATCCGAAAAATCCCTCCTTAGTAGATTTACTTGACCAAAAATACATCCACTATCAATGATGATCAAGTACTTTTTGAGCCACCCTAATAAACATCAATTAATTTAAATCTACTTAAGACTTTAGCAACTTTAACAATATTTGCCACAGATTTATATTGCTTCTAACCACATGCAAGTAAAAGTTTGATTAATCATTATAACATCTGTCATAAACCAAACAAAATTCGGTAGTTAAACTTTTAAACCCACTAACTTTATAATGCCTATTGTCTAAATTTTCTTATTAGACACATGCAAACTGTTTAAATATGTTAGTGTTTAGTTTAAAATTATGATGATGCCTAAAATTTATAATAAAATTAATGTCAAATGATTCAGCATAATCATGTAATAAAACTTCTTCTGCCAAGTTTTAAAACAAATTTTCTCAAATTGACACATAAGTGCATTCATTATAAATCTTAATATAATTCTTTTGTTAACTAATATTGATTGTCCTTTAAGGAAATGATGATTTGGTATAAAAATAAATATTTCACAAATGATAGCTATGTTCATTTTGTCATTACGTTTGTAGCACTTGGAAATATTGCCGCAGATCCATAAAAGTATATAAATTGGATGTTTATTAGAGTCTCGATAATCAAGCCAGTCTGTCCGTCGGTCACTCAATCAGTCCATCCACCTGTCCGTCCTTCCACATATCCGCCTAGTTACTAAAATCACGACAGATCCCCAAATGGAGTAACTAGAAGGTTGAAATTTTTCTTAAATATTCATTATTTTATTTGACATCTTCTAGGCTGAACCTACAATCATGATAATTCAACAGTAGATATATATTTGGTCATGTAGACCTACTAAGGAGGGATTTTTAGGTGGTCAAAATGGGGAAAATTGGGTAAATTCCTGCAATCATAGTTTTAGATAATCAAATTAAAATTTTACTAAAAATATCAACATAAACTCAAATTTAATTTATTTACAATTTAATTTAATACTTACGTGATGGTAAAAATAAAATCGAAACCAAACAAGTGTGTGCATAGAATAAGTAGAAAAGTTTGTTGAATTATAGAACAAATTTTTGGTTAAGTTTTATATTTTGACTGTTAGTTAAAGATGATAATTTTTTTCTTATTTAGATTCTCTTTGTTTACAGCTGCAGCTTTATTTATTAGAGAATTTCTGATTAGTAGTGCACTTTTAATTTTTCAACAGCGTTTCAGCAGTGCTGACTTTGCTTGCTGCTGTTGCTGGAGATATTGGTGTTGCTTTTACGTTTTTCTTTTACTTTTTCAAACTATAATTTAAAACTTTTTTTTAAGCATTTAGTTTTTGTTTGAAAATAATACACAAACACACACTAACACATTCACCTACTCAAACACACAAACAACTTATCTTATTAGTAAATGTAGAAATTGTACAAAAGAACTGCCAGTTACAGAAAAATAATAGAGAAGAAAAAAAACACATAACTTTTTCTTAAAATTTTTGCCTGCATTCTGAAGATAAACAAAATCACAGAATATAAAAAATGTATATATACACACAAGCATACTCATTGCTAACACACTCTTGGATAGAAAACCAAAGTCACTCGTAGAGAGTTTTATTTTAACGAAAATGCGTTATCAGCATTTAAACCGAATAAACCGAAAATGAACGTAAAGTGTAAGAACAAAAAACACAAACGCACACATACATACACATAACGCACAGTGGGTTGAAGAGCTTCTAAAAGTCAAAGTAGAAGTTTTGGTTAAAATAAGTAAGTGTTCGTTCCTATAGGCAATAAAATATAATATAAAAAGTCTTTAAGGGCAAACTTTTGAAATAGAGGTAATGATGCTCACCATCAAGGATCTACTGCAAGTTACCGCTTGTTGCAGACGTGGAAAATCGACATTATTAAATAGTACTAACTCATAACAAAAATAATACTTTTAGACTAGACTATAGACTAGACATAGAATAGACTATAACTAGACCTTAACTAGAACCTATAGACTAGACATAGACTAGACATAGACGACTATAGACTAGACCTATAGACTAGCTATAGCTAGACTCATAGACTCAGACTATAGCCTAGACTATAGACTAGACTATAGACTAGACTATAGACTAGACTATAGACCTAACTATAGACTATACTTATAGACTAGACTATAGACTAGACTATAGACTAGACTATAGACCGACTATGATAGAATATAGAACTAGACTATAGACTAGCTTAGACTAGACTATAGACTAACTATAACTAGACTATGACTAGACTAGAGACAGACTATAGACTAGACTATAGACTAGACTATAGACTAGACTATAGACTAGACGATAACTAGACTATCTGATAGACTATATAGACTATAGACTAGACTATAGACTAGACTATAGGACTAGACTATAGACTTAGACTTATAGACTAGACTTATAGACTAGACTATAGACTAGGACTATAGACTAGACTATAGACCTAGACTATAGACAGACTATAGACTAGACAATGACTAGACTATAGACTATAGACCTAGACTATAGACTAGACTATAGGACTAGTAAGGGACTAGACTATAGACTAGGACTATAGACTAGACTATAGACTAGACTATAGACTAGACCTATAGACTAGACGTATTAGACTAGACCTATAGACTAGACTATAGACTAGACTATAGACTAGACTATAGACTAGGACTATAGACTAGACTATAGACTAGACTATAGACTAGACTATAGACTAGACTATAGACTAGACTATAGACTAGACTATAGACTAGACTATAGACTAGACTATAGACTAGACTATAGACTAGACTATAGACTAGACTATAGACTAGACTATAGACAGACTATATACTAGACTATTAGACTAGACTATAGACTAGACTATAGACTAGACTATAACTAGACTAGACTATAGACTAGACTATAGACTAGACTATAGACTAGACTATAGACTAGACTATAGACTAGACTATAGACTAGACTATAGACTAGACTATAGACTAGACTATAGACTAGACTATAGACTAGACTATAGACTAGACTATAGACTAGACTATAGACTAGACTATAGACTAGACTATAGACTAGACTATAGACTAGACTATAGACTAGACTATAGACTAGACTATAGACTAGACTATAGACTAGACTATAGACTAGACTATAGACTAGACTATAGACTAGACTATAGACTAGACTATAGACTAGACTATAGACTAGACTATAGACTAGACTATAGACTAGACTATAGACTAGACTATAGACTAGACTATAGACTAGACTATAGACTAGACTATAGACTAGACTATAGACTAGACTATAGACTAGACTATAGACTAGACTATAGACTAGACTATAGACTAGACTATAGACTAGACTATAGACTAGACTATAGACTAGACTATAGACTAGACTATAGACTAGACTATAGACTAGACTATAGACCTAGACTATAGACTAGACTATAGACTAGACTATAGACTAGACTATAGACTAGACTATAGACTAGACTATAGACTAGACTATAGACTAGACTACTAGACTACTAGACTACTAGGACTAGACTATAGACTAGAGACCGTAGACCGAGTGAAAATTAAATGAGTAACCGAAATATAAGTATATATTTCATTTACAAAATATTTTCTATTTGTTAAAGCATCTACAAATATTATAATTACTGTAGTATGGCATAATGATGTCCAATTTAACTTAACTGATTAGCTTAGGCTTTACTATAAAAAGTTAAACTTATCTGAGCTACAACTACTCAGAATTCTATAAAAATATTAAAAAAAAAATAGGAATGATATAAAAAACAATTTCTGCACCAAAAAAAACCTAAAGTATTGTTAAAAAACTCACCAACTGACTCTCTCACACACACAAACAAATAAAGAAATAAATAAATATTGTTACTTTCTGTTTAATATTTTTTAAAGTTTATTTCATATTTATTTTAGAATTTTTTTTTAATTTAATTCATTTATTATTTATTTAGTTTTATTTTAATCATTTCTTTTTAATCTATATGACCAAAACGACCTACACGTATAATTAATATTAATGTTAAACGACCATTGTGCAAATATAAAGAATTTTTGGAAATCATATTTTCATTTTTAGCAACAGCACACTTTTTTCAATATAAAACAATTTCTTAGAATTTGCATTTTTTTATTTTAAATATTTAAAGAAATTAAAAATTTTTTTGCCGATATTTTATTTTTATTATTTTCTTTTTATGGCTGTTTATATTTTTGCAATTTTATTTCTTTTTAATATTTTTTGGTCTATTTTCCAAAACTTTTTTTGTTTGTTTCACATATTATTTTTTTTTTGAATATTTTTATTCCTCCGTTAGTGTTTCTTGTCTAGCGGTATTTCAATTTAAATGTTTGTGGACGGACGCAGGCAAAGCACTGCGCGTTGTTTTCATGGACAAACGTATGGTAACAATTCGTTTTTTTCACATTTTCCACATTTTCTTTTTCTTCTTTTACTCTTCTATAATTTTATTCTCCTGCTCTAATGTCTATGATTTGCTAGAAACTATTTCACTTTTCCCTTATAGACACAACTTTGAATAGTGTGTAACAGGAACAGGAGAATAATCAAAAAGAGAGCATTGTAAATATATTTCCCAGTATTTTTATTCATATTTTTTCTGTTTTACGTTTATGATACCTTATAATACCTAAACAATGTGGTGGTTTTGCATTTTTCTTTTTTGTTGTTTGTTTCTCCCAACAATGAAGAAAAAAATTCCCACAACAACATTTTTTCTCAACACAAAAAAATTCTTAAAAATCTGAACAATCTCCTGTACAATCTAACAATTCTTCAATATTTCATTATTTCTTCGCCGAATACTATTTTTTCTTCATTTTACTTCTACTGCAGGTTTATTTTGTTTTTTTTTTATGCCTTGGTCTTAGTTTTCTTGGTTTATTGCATTTGTCAGTAATTTTGAAAAGCAAATGAATAAGTTTATTTTTTTCAATGTCTTAAAGGAAAAAGTAAATTCGTGTTCTTTTGATTATCGGTGGGGGTTTTATTACGAAACTTTAACAAGTTTAAAATATCATTGCAATAGTTGAAATATGTTGGTGAAAACTTTTCTTATAACAAATTTTTGGATTATTTATAGATTAGTAAATAATATAGTCTAGTCTAGTCTATAGTCTAGTCTATAGTCTAGTCTATAGTCTAGTCTATAGTCTAGTCTATAGTCTAGTCTATAGTCTAGTCTATAGTCTAGTCTATAGTCTAGTCTATAGTCTAGTCTATAGTCTAGTCTATAGTCTAGTCTATAGTCTAGTCTATAGTCTAGTCTATAGTCTAGTCTATAGTCTAGTCTATAGTCTAGTCTATAGTCTAGTCTATAGTCTAGTCTATAGTCTAGTCTATAGTCTAGTCTATAGTCTAGTCTATAGTCTAGTCTATAGTCTAGTCTATAGTCTAGTCTATAGTCTAGTCTATAGTCTAGTCTATAGTCTAGTCTATAGTCTAGTCTATAGTCTAGTCTATAGTCTAGTCTATAGTCTAGTCTATAGTCTAGTCTATAGTTAGTCTATAGTCTAGTCTATAGTCTAGTCTATAGTCTAGTCTATTAGTTCTAGTCTATAGTCTAGTCTATAGTCTAGTCTATAGTCTAGTCTATAGTCTAGTCTATAGTCTAGTCTATAGTCTAGTCTATAGTCTAGTCTATAGTCTAGTCTATAGTCTAGTCTATAGTCTAGTCTATAGTCTAGTCTATAGTCTAGTCTATAGTCTAGTCTATAGTCTAGTCTATAGTCTAGTCTATAGTCTAGTCTATAGTCTAGTCTATAGTCTAGTCTATAGTCTAGTCTATAGTCTAGTCTAGTCTAGTCTATAGTCTAGTCTTAGTCTAGTCTATAGTCTAGTCTATAGTCTAGTCTATAGTCTAGTCTATAGTCTAGTCTATAGTCTAGTCTATAGTCTAGTCTATAGTCTAGTCTATAGTCTAGTCTATAGTCTAGTCTATAGTCTAGTCTATAGTCTAGTCTATAGTCTAGTCTATAGTCTAGTCTATAGTCTAGTCTATAGTCTAGTCTATAGTCTAGTCTATAGTCTAGTCTATAGTCTAGTCTATAGTCTAGTCTATAGTCTAGTCTATAGTCTAGTCTATAGTCTAGTCTATAGTCTAGTCTATAGTCTAGTCTATAGTCTAGTCTATAGTCTAGTCTATAGTCTAGTCTATAGTCTAGTCTATAGTCTAGTCTATAGTCTAGTCTATAGTCTAGTCTATAGTCTAGTCTGTAGTCTAGTCTATAGT